ACGGCGGACACTCGAATCGAGCGAGAAAAAATTATCTCGTTCCGAGCACCATTCTCAATCAAGGGTTTGCACTCTTGTTAACAAGACCAATTGGTATAGCCAGTTGCTATGACACGTACACGCAAAGAAGTGTGTAATGTGGCACGCACACACGTTAGCGTGTATTACGGCTAGTACACACTTTCTCCATGTTCACACCTCTACCTGCACACTCGTTCTGGCTTGTACTAATTACATTAATGGTATATCTGCTTCTTTTCCCTATAGATGACTATTGTGCGTCAAAATTTGTGCTGAAGTTCATATGTCAAAACTCCCTATAGGGGCCTATATAATTCCCCAAAAATAAAAATTTCATGTAAAAAAAAAAGGTGATTATCCGACTCAGAATGTGAGGTTTTAGGGGGGGGGGTAGTTCCTCTTCCATTTTTCGATTTGAGAGTTTGTGTCGAATTTCGAAACTTTTTCCATAAAACGCTCCTATTAAGTACCCCGGGATGTGAACTTCAGCACAAAATTCGACCGGCGTTCGTCATCTACATGGCTAAGAAGCAAATATACCGAGTTTGAACCGAATCGGGAATTTACACCTACCTAAGCCTAAGTCTCCTTGTTAGCTGTCTACTCGAGTATAGGGAGTTTAACTCTGTTAAGGTAAAGTAGTGTTAGTACGGGAGAGGATAGTACTGAGGAGCAGCTGCGATGAAGGTTTGCCAGAAGAACGTTAATTTACAACATGGTTTGATGGATCAGTGGGTAAAACGCTGGTGGACAGTCACGTGAGCAACGGTAGAGGGACAACAACACCTTGACCTTGGGCGGGCGCGCCCAGCTACTCTTCTTATCCACGGGTGCAATATACTCGTCCGGCGATTCTGCTTTCCATTATCGAAGTAGGATACCCCAAACAAGTAAGGTGCACTTCAGTTGCTATCAACCACTCGATGTCACCCGTGGCCAATCATGTAATAGTAGGCAGACGCCACACTAGAATCCCCGTGCATGCGCTGTTTGCAATTTTCACTCTAGGGATAAAAATTAATACAGCTCGATTTCACGTTCCTACTCTTTGGTTTTTTGCTTGGAGGCCATCTATGATTCTGTGTTCAAAGTGAATAGCATGATTTTTTCGCTGTTATTGTAGTAAAAACCCCCTTTATAGCGCTCATATGAGAAAGAGACAGAAAGACTTCTACAAAAAGTCGTCTCGAAGAATACTATCCTACCGATTTATGATCATTCGATTTTCTTACCTGCCGTTTTTAAATAGAACGAGCTCATATTTGCTTCTCGTCGTCTGTGACAAGCACACTCATTTGGCTGACAAGTGTACTCCAAACTTAATCAGGTCGGTTCTGATCTCATGGTTCATAGTGCGATCCGGTCCTCTGACACGGCCCCTGCCCCGCGGTGCACCCGTTCCGTCCCGCCCCACCCTGCCCCGTATTTACGACCAGTGCTCCAGTGCGGGCCGCGCTCGCAGAGGCGATGGACGCGACCCCATCGAAATACAAGCCAACGTCGGCAAGTGGGAGCGGGTGGAATCCTCCGAGGACTCGTTGGCGGGGCGGGGTGGGGCGGGGCTGTTGGGGCGCGGCACTGACCGCGCACGCCTCGGGGCCCCCGGAGGCCCTGCAGTGTGTCCGATTGTGCCATCGAGTCCGGCAGAGCGGCAGGGCGGCAGGGCAGCAGGGCGCATTCCATTGAGTGTGGCGACGGCGGGAATGCCGAGCCGCGCCGCGCGCGCCCTGGACCCCCTGGACCCCCTGGACTACATATACACACACCCTGCCAGCTGGACTCAGGCCGAAGATTTTAACACGGCCGGCACAGCCGCTCGAAGCGCAACCAGCACACGAACTTGATTTTATTTGAACAGCAATCACCCTTTTGCACACATATCTGCCTTGTTTTAAACACTTTTCTGTATTCATTTGTACGAAATCACGCACGTTTGCGAACAAATTAGTACGAAACGCAACATAGGTTTAACTTAGCCTGAATGTTTAGAGAAAAACATGCATGTAATGCATACGGCTTGAGGAAAATACATGTTTTGTAACAAGTAAATTTACTTGTAATTACATTTTATCAGGACGTGAGCAAATTCTCTTCTCACATGAACGGTCAACGGTCATCTTAGGGTGCGGGAGTGGAGAGCAGTAGGAGTACAACCCTTACGTCGTCACCACACGCAGGAAGACACACACGAGGGGGTTTCCACTTGCACTGCACACACTACAATCCTACGAACTTATTTTGTCTATAGCTTACTGAAATATATAAATATGATCAGCTGGCGATTTTTTTTAAAACGTCAGAGTGAAGAAATTTCTTATTAAAAATGCGTTAGCAGAACATGTTCACCGAGGGGTGTGGAACTGGACACAATATGTGTACATCGGGAAAAACAATAAGAAACAATCATGAAATAATCGGACACAATCACACACAATCCGAAACCATTACACAAAATCCGAATTAATCACACAAAAATCCGAAACATCACACACAATCACGAAACACTCATACACAATCAAGTCACGCCGATTTTGCGTCGATCGATGAAATCGACCAAATTTCGACGACGCATTACTAGCTGCAGCTAGTACACTGTTATTCAAGGAATGTGACGTCACATTCGTTTTAATGTAAATCGTGTCACGTTCGTTCGAATATTGTGTCACATTCGTTTAAACGTGAATCTATGCTGAAATGCCCCCTGGATTAGCTGATTCACGTTAAAACGAATGTGACACAATATTCGAACGAACGTGACACGATTCACGTTAAAACGAATGTGACGTCACATTCCTTGAATAACAGTGTATTATTGTCCATGGACAACAATCTAAAACAATCAGAGACAAATCTTTGACACAATCACACACAATCAAGAGCTGCACCGGTTCCACACCCCTCGATGTTTACAGAACTCAGTAAGCAATGAAGAAAAAATCATTCATTGTCAGAGGCTCAGACCCTCTCTATTTTGAACAGCGATTTGGACTTATTATAACTAACTAGCCTATTAGTCCCCAACGCAATTGCAATTAATATTTGGGTAACCTCTACAGGAATTCGCCTCACCTTAATGCGTGTAACTGGAGGTAAATCCTGTACTAATAATTGTATCAATAAGCCTTTCCATGAACGAAACTTCGAGTGCCGCCTCATACGCGCTCGATTTGCTTTGACCCCAGGCCGTCTGGCCGCGCACCATGGGCCCATAGCAAAGGCACACCTGCAAGCAACAACGAGCCACTCGACGAAGTTGATTCTTTCCGGTGGGGGTGGCGGGGCGTGGCGAGCGGGCGTAAGTGGCCTGCCGCGGCGTGGGGGAGGGGGTGGGGCGCTGATTTCGCAGGGCCGGGGACGGCAAAGAAACGCACGCCACGCACGTGCCCGCAATTTCGTACAACAACGGAACGCTTGGAAAGTCAACGCTGTGTGGGGACGTTGGAGTGGGTTGGGGCGGGGCGCGCGCGGCGGCCCTCCGCACAAAGGCATCGGGCTGGCTGGCTGCCCTCTTAGCCCTTTACCTCGGCAAGCCGAGCCGAACCGAGCCGGGCCGTGCCAAGTCGCCCTTCCACTTTTCATAAGGCTCATACCACACGGCACGCGGCGGCTCAGCCCGCGGGGAGGGGCTCGGCGGGGCCCACCTCACATGCCTCCTTCAAACCGACAAGCCTCTTCCACGTCAACAGCCACTCAGCCGCATTCACAACCACAGCGGCCCCGCCCCGTCGCGGTCACAGCCACAGTTGTCTGCCAATTACTGCTAGTGCTGGGCGGTGCGGTGCGGCTGGGCTCAAACACCGACGGTTCCTTTTTTGCCGTCCCCGCCCCGCCCCGCCCCGCCCCACCTCGTGGCGCCATGCCACCACCCCACCGCACCCGCCCCGTGGCCCACGGGGATAACACACAGAGTCAGTCTCCCCGTTTCCATAAACCCCTTTGCCGTACGTTCGGAGGCTGCGGCGCTCTCATCTCGTGTGCAGTGGGTCGTGCCCGCCGACAGATCACGCACTCCACGACACATGTGCGTCGTCTCACTCGCTCGCCGCAGCGGCAGCTGCTCTGCGCCTCGAGGCGAGTCGACAGGTGACGCCGCGCGCCCGGCCAGCCCATTGTACGACCGTTTGTCCCCCCCCCTCTCCCCCCGCAGCCTCCTTTCCGTCTCGTTAAGCGGCTCCTTCCGTCTTCTCTTTATGCCTTCAACTTATTTCCCGTCTGCCGGAGAGCAGAGGACTGCTTCTGTTGCTCCCACTGTTGCTGCTGTTGCTCAGCTCTCCCCCCCCCCTCCCCCCACGTCACTTGTGCCAGTCCCATCGCGGTGATGGTCGTGGTGCTAGTGGTGTTTGATGATGGCGTAGCGTTTGTTATGACGCCCCGCCCCGCGGCCCCTCTATGCGTGCTCCCACATAGCGTGCGACGGCGTGGTCGGCCTGTCCCCCGGAGACACGCCACGGGCGGGTGGTGTTGTTGTTGTAGGTCGTGGCGGAGGAGGGGCAGGGCCGGCACGGTGCGCTATACCGAATAACGAATGCAGATGGTGCGCAGCGGAATCCATTTTTAACCGCACCACCTCTCCGCCAGCAGGAACTTCCGCGCGAGGAAGTTTTGCCAAGCGCGCCTGTGGAGGTGCGGGATGAGCTCGCTCGCGCCGATCGGCCCGGCGGCGGTGTGTCACCGGGGCCCTTTGTAGCCGCGCCGGGCCGTGCCGGCCATACATCACAATGGAATAATATGCGACAAGGCCTTTTCCTCGGCGGTGCGCGGCCCCTTTGTGTGGGGCACAATGCACTCCCGCACATGCTCGCAGTAGGGCGGCCAGGGCCAGGGGAGAGAGTAGTAAGTTTGTCCGCTTGTTTAGCGAGCATGTTGCTTCCGGCTCGATGGCCCCGCCCGCCGAAAGGACTTACCGCTACTTGTTGGCTGGACGATGTGCGTCCCGGTGCATCAGGGGAGGACGGGTTTTAAGAGAAACTTCGCACGAGAACAGTTTCCTGACCTGTCAGTTTATTCTCACTCTCAGTAGTTTTACAAAAGAAGAGTTCTTCCCTTAATTACAGTATTATTCTTTATTTAACGGCAAAACTTGTTACAAAAAATATATTATATGAAGTTGCTGTGTAATTTGAATGTGATTGACGATCTATCAACCGTTTGCTCTACTCGAAAGCTTTGAGGACTTTGTGTCCCCTAGAAATGCAAATACGGTCATATGATTTTACCAAACATGTATGCACATGAAAATTTTACGTCATGATAGAGACGGATTGTTCGTTTTGCGTCAACACTAGGTAATGGCAAAGGTGTCTATGTTGAATTTTCGTTCTCAGTCTCTATCGAAATTAATGTTCTGCATGATATGAACGGATACATGATTTTAATGCGATATGCTTTGATATTTTAAATAAAAAATGGGCCACCTCTTAGGATATGGCTCATGAATGCAGAAGTGACAGTTTGGACACATGAAGTAATGATACTGTGTAGCCATATTGTGAGGACAGGTATATCTTTAGCCGAGTAGGGGTAATCCTCATAACCGATAGCATGATGGCAAATTTGATCTAGAAATTGTGATAAAATTTTCCTAGTTTGTAATGAACACAGACGCAGATCCGTAATTTCTTTACAGTATTTACAATACAATTCTCATAAATCTAACGCAAATACATACTCTCTGTACGCATTATATTAACATAGCATTGTATAAAAAGATTTCTTTCAGTTCTCTGTATACACTCTGTAGCGATAAGACTGAGGGGTCCCTACCAGTGTACATCTGAGGAAATACTGGACATTCGTCTTCAGGCTCCATAGTCGTCTGATACAATTGTTAACATTCAACTGTCCCCAAATACTGTGCAAGAACGGGCTTGAAGACACTGCATATCACCCCGTCCAGTACCCCCAAATTCTCTTTCATGTACCAAGAGTAAACCAGCGCGTCTCTTGGGCACAACAGCTCGGGACCACGTCCACAATACAACGCATTGTATGAGGGTTCAGAAGAGTGAAAGGCTTAAAATTAATTTATATTGTAAATCAGTCGAGTGTGACATCGTCCCTCAGTCGGGACGAGACGGTACAAGAATCAAAACGCTCCTCTCCGCTTACAAACAACATTGTGCGACACATCTTAAACAACAACAACGCCGTATCTTGAGACAAACTTAAAAAAAAAAATCAGAAAATTCCAGCAAACACAGTGGAAGAAATTAGACAAATTAATGCCTATCCAGTAGAATGGAAAACAAGTAAAGTTTAACATCTTAATTTTAAATGTTCTCATTTTCTTTGAAAGTTTGACGTTACTTTAATACGAAACAAAATCGTAAACTGTGAAAATATCGTGGTGTTTTTTTTTTCCAACAGTGAGCACACTTTCAAGACTTCACACGCAGCTCTCTGGTACTCGGGACGACATGAGCCTCTCCTTGATGGCCGTGCCGTTCAGCTCCAAGTCTCTTCTCTCCCCGCCGAGCAGCCCCGCCGCCCCCAGCGCCCCCGGCGCCCCCGAGCCGGGCGACAGGCGCAGGTCCTTGGGCCGAAGGTCCCACGAATAGGCCGCACCCGAGTCGCCGAAGTGGTGCGTCTGCAACAGAACCGATACGCTGTATATGGGAGATTTCCGCTGACAACGCCATGGTAAAACGATTTCCCAGCGTAAAGAGAGGACAAAGAAACGGGGGAGAAATCTGCTGGACCGGCGGCGCCCGGCGCGCTTTAACATTCGGAGTGGGATCGAGTGGAAAAGGACGCCGAGCTATTTCTCTGCCGTTGAAATCTGGGGTGGTTCGCGCGCTGCTGCGCTGCTGCTCGGGCGGTCGCTTTAGTGTTGAGTCGGGTCGGGCGTCGCCGGGGGAGGGGGAGAGCAGGGGGAGAGCAGGGGGAGAGCAGGGGGCACGTCCGCTCCCCGGGGCTTATTACTGTGCGGTCAGCAAGGGGCTGCCCAGTGCGCGCCAGCCTCGGCACCAGCCTGTGGGCGAGGAGGTGGAGGATGTAGGTGGGCAGGAGCGAGAGCGAGAGGGGGACAGAGAAGAGGGGGGAGGAGGAAGGGAAGCGGAGGGTTTCCCTAGCCGGGTGACCGAGTCGTGTGAATAACAACTTCCTGCTGGCCCACGGTCGGGCAGTGCGGGGGGCGAGGGGGAGAGACGTGCGGGTAGAGCCGAGAGGGGGGAGGGAGGGGGTCCCATTGTTGTACTCACCACCGTTTCGAATCCCGCCGAATTCCTTTTGTTCCGCACCCAGTGTTCGGGCGACGTGCCCCTAACCGCAGGGTGCGCCGCTAGCACCGGGGTCGGCTGGGGCCCCCCGTTGCCCTGCAGCGGCCCTGGCCCCGGCCCGGGCGGCCCCAGGGGACTGACGGGGTGCTCCGAGTGCCCGTGGTTGGACAGCGTCCCGTTGCCCACCGGCCTCTGGATCACTGGGTCTGCAACACAACACACAATATTATTGATCAGGGTCAGGAGGACGGCCCGAGAGGAGGAGGACGGCGACACGCGAGGCCCCGCCGCGCCAGCGCGTGCGAGACATAGCGGGGCGGGGCGAGGTGGGGCGGGCGGGGCAAGGGCGGGGCCAGGGTGGGGCCGGCCGGGGCGCACGACCCTGCTGTAATGCTCTCTCGCACTACAAATCACGGAGGAAACGGTTCCAATTCCGGCTGCTCCACCCCGCCCCGCCGGCCGGCAGCGTGCGCCAGACCAAGGCGTGCCAGACCAAGGCGTGCCAGACCACGGCCGGCCAGGCAGGGCGGGCCGGGGGGGCCGGGGCGGGACGTGGCGAGCGGAACGGCGCCAAGATGGCTGCCGATGGTCACACCGCGGTCAGATAAACTCGACTCAGCGCGCGGCCAGGCAAAATGGGAGGGGACGGTCAGAGGGACGGGGCCGGAGGGGGAGGGACTGAATCACCGGAAAGAAGCTGCACTGTGAGCCGAGCCAGGCCAGCCAGACCACCACAGGCCATGGACCGGACCCTGTCGGTGGGGAGGGGGGGGGGGAGGGGTCGGCTTGTACTCGACCCGTGTGATTACGTGCGGTCTAATTGAATCCCACACGTGCAAGCCACGTGCTGGCCGCGCAAGTACATCCGGACGGTATGGGGTGGCGATACACCCGCAAGGGCCGCTCTACTACAGCGCGCGCCGCCCGGCCCGGCTGTCGCAACATAAGAACTGTCAACTGTGTGACACGAAACATTATGTAAAACTGTTGTCCTCTCTTACGGCCCCGCCCCCGCTTCAATCACTATGCAAGCGGCGCTTTACATTGTGAGCGCGTCGGTAATGTATTTGCCCCACCCCCTTCCCCCTGACCTGCAGCGCCCCCTCTGCTCCACGTGTTTAAAATGCGATCGCTGCTTTAACGCGTGATTCAGCAACAGCGGTGGGACACCCATTTCACATGCGTCGCGCTCAATATCGAGGCGGACGTTGACGCTAATATAATGAATTTAGAGTGGAAATCACCATGATGGGTTTCAGAACGCTAGAGCCGCGTGTGCCGCGAGTGGACACGCGCTGGGCTGGGACAGTGAGCTGCAGCAGGGTCAGCCACCTGCGCGAGGGACCGGTGGCGGCGCGGAGCAGGACCCCTGCAGCCCCACTCAACACAACCACAACTAACCAACTCATCAAAACCGGAACACGTTTGTAGACACAGGTCTCCTGTGTCCGTACATTGCGTCATGGCCATGTATGCTGAAGCAACGAATTGAGAGACGGTTGCGATACTGTGTTGGCGGATACTCACTAAACAATGTACTCCAAAAAACTGATTTCTTGGATCAAGTATACCGTACTTCATCTACAACTTTTCAAGCACATATGCCTTGACAAAAGTGATATGAACTTTACAAATCAAGGAAGGGTCAAGTTAAATGTGCTCAATGGTTCATAAACTCATTTTTGGGGGGTTTGTCGCCCAATCAAATCTTAATAAAACGCAGCCACACCAAGCTTCCTGCTCTTTTCCACAGCACGGAGATGCGACCAGAAATGACTTTTGAGGCTCTCGTCGCTCTCCTCCGCGACAAAGACACTGGGGTGGTGACCCAGTTGGGGTGGGCGCTGCCCCCGGCCGCCCCCGCCCCGATGCCCCCGCAGGAACGCCTTTATTGCAGCGCGACGTCAGGCCTGCTTGGGGTTAATCAGGCGTCCTTGCACCTTTAATCACCACCTGGGGCAGTCGCCCCTCCCCCGCTCCGGAGACGTCAACAACCGGGGCCTGTCTCATTATGCAGTGTCACAGCCCCACCCCACCCCGCTCCAAACATTTGAGCCGGGGCCGTAGCAGCGCCTGGCGCGAGGCGGCGACAGATACTCACCAAACTTGGCAGGGATGATGTCGGGGTCCTTCTCGTCGAGCGGGTCCCGGGCGTGCGCCGCCGTCTTGCCCGGCGGCGGGCCCGCACCCGGAGCCTTCTCCCCGCGGCCGCCGACGCCCGCGCCGCCCCGCGCGCCCGCCTTGAGGCCGCGGCGGACGTGGACGGCGATGCAGAGGGTGGCCCAGACGAGGCAAAGGGCCACGGTGATGACGGCGCCCGCCACCAGCGGAGACATGGCCAGGTCGCCGTCGGCCGCTGCAACAAGGAGAGCAAACGTGGTCAGGCGGCGAGCACGGCACACAAGCGGCGCGCGACAGCCGGCGCGGAGAGGATTCAAATTTACGGTGAAAGTTGCGTGCATCTTAACGCTGTATAAACTGGGAATAAAACTCCAGCGTCTCTGAGCAGCAGCGCTGGGCTGGGGATATTACACCCTAGAGCGGCTCTCCTGAAATCCCACACATCCCCCCGCCGCCCTCCCCCGGGCCTAGCGCCACCTCTTTAATATCGCAAGTCGCACTCCCGCCGCCCCCACCCCGCCTCTGCACACACGCAGTAGAGGGAGCTGATTACGTAAGGCGTATTGCAGTGGAGGGGCGGGGCGCGCCGTATGGAGATCGGTAGTACACCCCCGAGGCAACTAGCCTCCCCACATCACTGCCGGGCCCAGCAAGGCGGCGCCCTCATGGCTGGCTGGCTGCACTCTCGGAGCACCCGCCCCGCCCTCATCCAACCGCCGATTCACTTTTCATCGCGCACGCCCTGCGACGGATATGAAAACTGGATGAACTATACACAGTATGGCCGTGGCGTATAGTGCGTTAGGGGGCGAGGGCGGGAGAGGGCGGGGGAGGCAGAGAGCGAGAGTGAGGTAGGGAGCGGGAGAAAGACAGAGAGAGGCAGGGAGCGAGAGAAAGACAGAGAGAGAGAGAGGCGGGGAGCGAGAGAGAAACGGCGAGAGAAGGAAGAGGAGAGGCGACATAGAGAAGCGCGCTCACAGACGCCCTTAAGTGCGCTATACGATCTCCACTTGACACAACCTCCTTTTCTCCACTCGATGTGCCCGCCGCGAAGAGGAGGACGGCGCTGGCGGGGGACCGGGGCGCGGGGGAGGGAAGGTCAGCAAGCTAGTGTTGCAAAGAGAGGGTCGCCTGTGAGCGCCGGGCCGGAGAGGTGCGCGGCATTCGCCAGCAGCGCCAGAGAGGCCGTGGAGCAAAAGAGGAAGCACGCATGGAGGCTGAGACGGTCGAGGTTATAATCGAGATAAGCAGGAGGCAAGGGCCGTGGTAGAAGCTTATGGGCTCATATTCGAGAAGAGGCCATGGATAAGAAAGGGCCGAGAGGAAGACAAAGGCTAGTTAGCGCCTGTGGGGCTAAAAGCCAGAAAACCTAATCCCTCCCAAAAATCTGTTTAGTGGATTCCTTTCCTCCTTCTTATACATCAATTCAGGATAAGAGAAACCCCTTTTCTCTGGCGTACAGAAGTTTTAGTCTTCTTATCTTACTTGTCCTCCGTGCGGTAGACTAAGAGTTTACCTGTCATCCATGTACATGAAACCTTTTGAGTGGTGTGAACATATTGTTGGTCACATTTTGCTGTGACCTCTTGTATGTTGTGCCAATACTTAGCTAGGATGTTGCATCAATTGATGTGACGTGCAAATCTTATCACATAACGTGGTGTGACCTAAACTGGTCACATCTATTGAAGTGGCGGTGACACATGCCACATTTGTTTTCACAGTGTGAGGGATCACCCTGAAAATACCTCCGTTTTTCTCAGATTAATTCAGTAAACTCCGGGACCTCGACGCCTGCGAGACTCGGGGTAGACCAGCCCGCAGTACACGCGTGAATGGTAGGCAAGATGTTGCCTACCTATCAGGAGCTATCAGAGCTGCGCTTCAGTGAGCTAAGCTAAACTTAGCAGTTTGTTTCAAAATGGCGATTTGAGTTGACGAACTTAGTAATTTTCAACGCTGGTCCCTACCTTGCTCTCCTTCACGTAACTCGGTTTGACCAGTTGGTTTTGAACTCAGTTTTCTTTGTCCATTAGACGTACAACGACAACTTTTCAAAGAACAAGAAATATCGCAGACGTCTGAGAATAGCCTACCAAACTTTGAAAAAGTACGGTGCCGGTGGTACAATTTGTATGACCAAGGCGACGCAGAAAAATGTCTCTGAATTGGGTGAAACAAGAAACACGACTAACGTTTACAGTGAGCAAACAATGCGAGTGGGCTTCGAGTGGCCCCCCTGATCTGAACTCGTCTCGCCCACCCCTTCCTCCCGCCACGGCGTCCCAGCGGAAACAGAAACAAACCGAGGCAGGAAGTTGTTGCGCGATGCGTGTTGGCTCCACTACTGTTTGCAGCGGCAACAAATCCAAATAGGGGCTTGGCGGGCGGGGCGGCGCGTGATGCGAGAGGAACGGCAGCAACTGCGCCACCTATACGGCCGAGGGAGCGTGCGAGGAAAGGGGGGAGGGGGGGCTCACAGCGTGCGGTGCGGCCCACAGAAACTCGCGGAACGGAACGATGGAGGAACGCGGGGTCATGAATTATGAAACAGGCTGTAAACACCTGCTGGTGGCTCAGCGCGGCGCGGCCGGGCCCGGCGCGGAGGAGCCGAGCAGAGCACAGCCGAGCCCGGCACGTTTGTTTGGCTGATTTAGTTCCGTTCCGCCGCCGGTGGTCTCCGCGTCATGTCCGTTACGTAACCAAAGCCGCAACAATAGCGGGGGGATAATACTTTAATTATAGCGCACTGAGATGTGAGAGGGGGTAGGTTAGGGAGAGGAGGCACGGCGCACGGCGAGAGGGCAATGGAAGAGGTGGGCTCTTGCTGTCGCGGGCTATTTCTATCTCTGCCTTTCACCCGGGGGCCTGAAGCGGTGGCCTCTTGGTCAACGAGGAAAATGCCCACGGCCACCCATGTTATTTAAACACGACAAACCGGAGAGGAACGCCGGCGCATGCACTGAGTATACTAGCACACCGGCTTTTAATTATTCCCCGTTTTGCCAAGTCACCTTACCTTGGCCACACCGGCCCAACTCACACTATTTATGCGTGCTCTGATTGTTAACAACCCTCCTATGCTGTACATCGTAAATGGTTAGATAAGTGGAACCGGACGGGGATAAAATTTTCGGTAGATTTTAAGCGGTAAATAAAGCCGAAAAGACTAACAATTTAAACAATTCGTGACTTGATTGTAGTTTGAAAGTGATTATGGTGAACGTATTCTTATTGGAGGCACTCTGTGATCACCTTTCTGACGGCTGGCAAAAGAAAATGGACCAAGAGGGAAACAAGCGACCAGTGACGCAGAGGTATTGGGCGAAGAAAAAGGGAAAATGAATAAGGTGAAGGGGGAGGAAAGGAGGGGGAGGTATAAAATAAGCACAGAATAAGGAGGGAAGAGTGAAGAGGGAGGGCGAGGAGAAAGGTGCGGCCTGGAGGAGAGGGAGTGAAGGGGGGCGCAGGGAAGGATCAGCGGGCGCAACGTGCTCGGCAGCCTTCATTACTGATTTCATCCCGCGGAGGGAAGAAGTGAAAGTTCGCCGCCGGAATAAACTTGATGGGAGCGGGATGAAATCGACCGCGCCTCGCCCCCCCCCTCTCTCTCTCTCTCTCTCTGCCTCTCCCTCTCTTTATCTCTCTCTCTCTCTCTCTCGCTCTCACACACACGCGCGCGCGCTGGTCCTCAGGAGACGGGCTGCCCTTCCTTTAGATACAGCCTAATGACGGCATGCTGGAGAGGTGTTCAACCCCCCCTACCCCTCCACAAATGAAACATATTGGTTCCGCGTGCGTCCCTGATCCCGGACAAGGAGAGAAAGAGGGATAGGCAGACGTGGACGGATATGGAGGGAAAGCGAGAGGGAGAGAGAGAGAGGGGAGGGGAGGGGGAGTGGGAGGGACGTGGTGCGTAAGACGAACTCCTTTCTATGACATGGCAAACAAGTCCCTAACAAACACACGCTGGGCTCGAGGCGCGCAACGCAGAGCGTGGGCGCGGCGGCCGCAGGACGGGCAGGTAATGGGACGTGCAGGGGGCGGCGCGGCCGTTCAATTGGTCTGCTCGTTAAGCGAGAGCCCACCTCCCCCCCCC